GGGGTGAACTATTTTTTAGCTTGGTCCCACCCATAATTTTTCGAATTTTACAAGTCTATAACTCAGTTTCTGATTGAGGAGCATGACAGCGATTTGAAGCTCCTTCAAGTGACATATCCCCTTTGCAAGGATCAGCCGGGTACAGCCAAGTAGGCGCGCGGCCAAGTAGGCGCAAAGCCATAAGTTGCTTCAAGATTTTCGAATCTTTCAAAATTTAGCAATAAACGATTCCTCTCATCGAGCTAAACAGATTGGTACCAAAATTGTTAAGGTCCAAAAATTTTCCAGGTAGTTATGGCTTTGCGCCTACCTGGCCGCGCGCCTACTTGGGCGTGTCCCGGATCAGCCACTACCCTTCCCCTCATGAAGCCACAATACCCGTTTTGTGTTTTCAGAATAAAATTCCATTTTAAATTATAAAATCCAAATTGTAAAGAAAAAGTTTTCGAAATTCTCAGAATAAATTTTAATTTACAAAAAATGAACAAACTTGTTTCTACACAAAAATTATAATGAAGTAGGTTGAAAAAGTGGAAGCGAAACATATCATTTGAAAGAGAATTGTCATCGATATTTACAGGAATTAAATGAGAAAATGTAACTGCACTTATTTGTTAGATCACGAGTTTTAAACAATTTTTCTGATTTACGAATAACACGTTGAAGCTGGAAAAAAATAAAAGAAATTTTTAAATTATTTTTCCTTCCTTCAACGCCTTCTTGTTGGATACACGCTTGGAACCAGGGGATGTCACAAATTATCCGAGAAACCTGGACTTGTCGACCCGATACCCGATCCGCAAATTTTCTTTCCAAACCCCGACCCCTGTTTTTTTCATTTTTAATCCTCTAACTGGCCAGACACGAAACGCGAATACCAAAAAATTTTCTGAGAATACGTCCAATTTTAACTAGTGTTCAATTTTACGGGCCGGGGGCTGATCGTACGGGGAACGGGGTTTGTGGGGGTATTCGAGTTCGGGGGCCCTTCAAGCTTCCCCACGGGAATCTTGAAAATGATTAAAGTACGCGTAAATCTAAATAAAATTCGCCGGGGCATTCCCTTCCCCGGAGACGGGGGTTTAACCCTAATTTTAACAAGTCATGTGCACATCCTATTCTTACCTAACTCCTAAAGCAATAAAATTCAAAAAAAATTTTTTAAACCGAATGTCCATACGGCATAACGAGAATTCCCTCCTCTTTTAAAAATGAGCAAAAATAAGCACGATGAGATTCTGGGACTAAAGCACCACAATAAATTCTGTCATATTTATTAGTGTTTTGTTCAAGTTGAAAAGCATTTCCAACAAGATAAGTTGGGGAACACCTAAAAAATTAAAAAAGTTAAGAAAAGTTGAAAACTATTGAATTAAGGGGCAAAACACTGTCCAGACATTAGAGTGAAAACCTCGTTGATTTTTACTGATATTATAAATTCGATAGAGATCGGCCTCTAACTTGATCCAGAACTTGATTTTTCCTGGATCCTGAGTCAAGAGCAAGGCACTTTTTCAATGTTACTCTGTCATGCTATTTTTCTCAACTCAAGGTCAAAATCTGTTCAATGTCCCCAACCAGAATCACGCATCATCGTTAAGGTATTGTTAAAATTTCCAATCTCTAAAATTCAATTTATGTCGATTTTATGCTTTCTTAACATCTTTAGACTTCACGGCTTCTTGGTCCTTTATACATGGGACTATAACTCCTATGCCCAAGATTTGCTCTTGTGTGGACAGTGCTTTGTCTTTACACGTACCATTCAAAAGCACAAGCTTCAGGAGATGATTGAAACAAAGAAATGCGTTCAGCTGCATAATCGGCAACATTTTCTATAAGCAAATTAATTAAATTTTGAATTAAAATATTTAAAAATACCATAAAGTTCAACTCCGTGATTGATTCCATTTTCTTCTAAAAAATAAAAATATAAAAGAAAGAGAAAAGTTAGAAAAGAAACCTAAAAAGAAGCCTGCCATAGTGCTGAGATAACCCGTACCAGATCCAATATTCAGAAAAGACTGTCCTCTTTGTAAATCAAGATGTTCGAGGACCTGAAAATTATATTGATTTTTAAACTTCAATGGAAATTTTTAAATGAACAATTCGGTATAAGCCCGGTATTTCAGCAGCCTGAAATATTGAACCTGACTGACCTCATTTTTTTCCTCCCCAAGTTTTTTCCTATATATCTACAGAATGATCAGACTTCTTCCTCTCATTCCAATCAACTTTCTATATTTTGTCTACAAACAATTAAAAGGAATTAAGTTTTATTCCCCTTGGATGGAAGAAAGGAAAAGGTTGACCATTCTGCAAATATATAAGAAAACACTTAGGGAGGAAAAAATGGGATCTTCAGGCCTTTGGGGGTTTGGTATTACGGCGTCATTTACACAGTTTGGTATTTCGGCAAGCTCTCTCCCACCAAAATCAATCAAAAGGGAAAAGCTTGGTGCACCAAAAAATTCATGAAAACTCATAAAACCACCAAATTCTCAATTAAACCCCAAAAATCTTTTTAAAAAAATACATTTGCATAAATGCACGGAGCAGAAATATGTAAAAATCCAGGCAATCCCAAATCCGATTTCCAAGCAGAATCTTTATAAACGTTTTCCTCCATTTTCTGGCATAAATTTGCCTCGATCAACAAATCTACAAACAACATTATTTCTTTTAAAATGAAAAATCAAAGAAAACCTCATTATACGCTCAACCCGTTCATTTTTAATTGAATCATGTTTAACCAAATTGTCAACTAATTCATCGTTGTAATTCACCAACACTAGCGACTAGACCCATCAGAAATTTAAAGGAATATCTAGAAAAATATCTAAAAATAAAAAAGTCGAACAAAATTAGCAGAAAAAGGGAAAAAATAATAGGTCCAACATCGAGATCCAAAGGTCCAACCAACCTCAAAAAATATATAAATTTCCGAAATCAATTTAAAATTTTTTTATTCTCGATCTCCAAAAATCTAGGGACTGGGCCGTTTTGGCGCGGAGCCGTTTTGGCGCGAGCTTATAAGAAAAAATAGATTCCAACCTCGAGATCCAAAGGATATAAGATAGCGATTTTTTAATCGCTTATAAGATAGCGATTTTTTATCTAAACTGATAAAATTTTGTAATAACAACTCTCGTACCTTTATCTAAGTTCTCCAAAAATTTCAGAATTTTTGAGCGAGAATTTTAGAAATTATGGCCAAAAATGTTGGTTTTCTGAAAAATGCCTAATTTTTCGAGGTCTATCGACTATAACCTTAGAAATATTGGATGAAAAATTCTGAAATTTCTGGAGTAGGTAGTCAAGGTTGTTAAAGAAATTTGAGGAAATTTTAAAGAATTTAAATCCCGCCTAAGTGCCACTTTTCTGTTCTCGCGCCAAAACGACCTCAACCCAAAAAATTAAACAACATTAATAACAAAACAAATAGGTATATTATAATCGAAAAAAACAGAATGACATTTTTATAATAGTATATTTAGAATCCGTGAATTTTTCCTCTTTGACAATACCCACTTTACATAAAAAATCCTTTATTTGTTTCCGGTGTACTGCTGTTGAAGTTTAATCAATGTTCTGAAGTTAGAAATAATTTTAGAATTTTAATAAAATTTTAAAAACTCTTTAATTTGCTGTTCCCCAACCATTTCCTCACAACCAAAAAGGGTTGAGGCCAACTAAAAATTTTTATTGCTAATTTAAAAAACATTTTTTGAAATATACCGCCTCCACAGCAGCAGCATTTTGTTCTATTAATTGTCTTGCTTTTAATTTACAATTATTTCCAATCAAGTATTTGTCGTCGTCTTTCATCCCTTTGAATTTCTCAGACTCAGCTTTGAAAACATAAAGGGCATCGTTGTCACTCAAGCCAAACTCAGGACCCTAAAATATGATTTTTAAAAATCGTGATAAATTTGGGCTATTACCATAGGTTCAAGAACTTCTTTAATTGCCCTTTGATCTGACTTAAACATCGTGGTTATTTTACCACGTAATTTCTTCTCTGATTCTCGACCTCCCCACAAACATGTAATTTGCTTTTCCTTCTCCTCCTTTGATATCACTTGTTTGTCTCCAAACTTAACTAGCGTGTGTCCTAATAATTGCCCTTCAGGCAAGAGTGTTATCTAAATTTCTTTATTAAAAAATTAAACGTTTTTATTAACTTTTGTAACAGGAACTCCGAGGAGAAATGCAACAAAGGCATGGCCAGCCTCATGGCTGGCCAAGTCCATCTTTTCGTCCGGAGTGAGTCCTGTTTTTCCATTAGGCTGAATATGGCATTCAATACATGTTTCTCCACCAATAGGATAAACGCCACCAACACAGTCATCAAAATCTGACTCCCAGTCAATTGAAGAACAAACTGACTTATTATCCTTAAAATTTAATGCTTTACTATTTAGAAATTAAGTAATTTCAATTTACATAAAAAATTTAAAAGTCGTTAATAAAATTTCGATTCTTAAAGATTAAATTTAAAATTTTGGGCAGAAATCGTTTAAGAAAAACTTAATTAAATATTCTTTTAATTTTTAAATATTAATACAGGGTTCGTATTCGTAATTATTTTGGAAGTACATACAAATCGACACCCGCAATTTCAAAATTAAGAACCTACTTATTTGTAAGTACATACTTAAAATGGACTTTTAGTTAATAAATTTCAACAAAAATTCACAAAATTTTTTCCAGCGGCGCAAAAAATGAATTATCTGGGCCTTTGGGCGAAAAAATTTAAAATATTTTTTTGTAGTGTAAAATTATAATTTGAAAATATTCCCCGTATATATTTCCAAATTAAACTTTTAGTACTTAGCATTTTTCGGATACGAATCCTGTATTAATATAATTCCAAAATACTATTTGCCCACAAATTTTTGTACGAAAAAAAAATTAAAAAATATTTTTTGAAATAAAATTATTGCTTCCAAAAAAAGAATTAAAATCAAATTTCCAAAAATATTTAATTGTAATTTAAATTATACCATTTCCATATTAATTTCCCGACATGAACAACAACGCTTTAATGAACCACCAGCAATAGACAAATTTGTAACTGATTTGGAGCGTTTTAAAAGAACATTTTTATCAAAATTTTTAACCAAAACATCCTTCTTTTCAATAATTTCTTGCTTGTCAACTTAAAAAAATTTTTATGTATTTTTTTTTTAATTTTTATTTAATTCCAAAATTTATTTTGAATTTTATTTCCGAAAAAAAAAATAATTTTTAAAAGGTTGATAAAAATATTATAGCAATTTTTAATACAAATTTAAAAACATTAAAATTTTTTTCGTCAAATAATTATAAAAGTTCTCTAGAAACAGGAATAAAAAAATGTTTCTATTTTCAAAAAATAAAATCGAAATCTGAATAAAATCCAGAAAATAAATTCCCAATTTACAATTGAATTTTTAAAGGTTGACATATTATCTTTATTTTATTTCAAAATATTATTTTTTGTCAACTTTATAAAATTGTTTTAAAAAATTCAAAAAAAATTTTAAAAAATAATTTTCAAAAATTCAGAAAAAATTAAAAAATTTCGAGGAATTGAAAAAAAATTTTTTTCAATTAATTTCAAAATAAATATTTTATGTAATTACCTCCGTTATCAATCTCCGATGCTTGAGTAACATCAATTTCAATAGTGGAGGGTTCTTCTTCCTCCGTCGTGTCCTCTTGTTTTGTTAATATCTTCTAAAAAATGAAAAATTCCTTTTATTCACTTTTTTTTATTTAATTTTTTACATCAAAAATTTTTTTTGATAATCTTATGATACAGATGAAAACATCAAAGACAAAAAAATCAAACTAAAGACATCACATAAAAAATGAGTAAAAAAGTCCGCAAGTTTTGTCCGCAAAAATAATTACAGCAAATTTTGTCAGTAAAAAAAGTCCGCAAGTTTTGTCCGCAAAAATAATTACAGCAAATTTTGTCAGTAAAAAAAGTCCGCAAGTTTTGTCCGCAAAAATAATTACTGACAAAATTTGCCGAAATTATTTTTGCTGTAACCATTCATAAAATTTATCAAAATCAGAATCCCAACTCAAATACACACAATCACACAAAAAAGCAATCTTCACAAAATTCACTCACTAATAATAAAAATCTCAAAAAAACCCACAGAAAAAATCACAAAAAATTTTTAAGCCTATTAGAATCCCAGGAAGTAAATTAAAAATAAAATTAGAAGTCTAAAAAATTATTATAATTTACTTGTACTTGTTTTCCTTCTTCCATTTTGGCTTCTTTCTTGTTGTCATCATTTGTAAATAATTTGTCATAATATTTGTTGTAAAGGCAGAGAGAAATGTAGAAGACAACACAAGAAAAAATTGCACCTCCAATTGCACCTCCAAATATTTGGATGTTTTCGATCGCTAATACACAATTGATTAAGGAAGAAAACACGACGACGAACAGCCAAGGTTGGCACCCTCCAGTACGCCAACCTAATGGGACCGGAGGGGCCCCTTTTGTTGACGAAGTGAAAGTCTAAAAATTTAATAAATTTGTATTTAAATTTTCCATCAAAAAATAAAATTTTCTATTTGTTTAAAAATATTATAATTTTATAAATCAATTCATTTGTAAATAATAAGAGGTGGAACAGAATCGGATCTTATAAACAGAACTTGAAAGATTCTGTGGCAAAAATCCGAAAAAATTTTTTTAATAAAAATTGATTTTAAGTAAAACGAGGATTTCCCCAGTTTGAAAAATTCAAAACTTTTTTACTCAAGTATTTGTCAGAAAATCCGCAAGTTTTGTCCGCAAGTTTAAATGTTATTTTACAAAAACGACAATTTTTTAAATAAAGAGAAAAAAAGTTTGCGGACAAAACTTGCGGACTTTCGGTCAAATAAATAAGTAAAAAAGAAATAAATTCTAATTTCCTTATTTAAAATACTAAAAAAAATTACATTAATTTTGTCAATATTTTTATGGTTCTGTAAGCAATTTGTAACCATTTTACTTCCAACAGAACAATTAATTTTATTTTTTTTGAAGTTTACTTCGTTGTTTCGTCGTTTGGTCCTTAATAATAATAAAAAATGTTTTAGTGACAAGATTTTTGTCCCTTCCCTTTTTTCTTAAAATGTTAATAATTTTTTATTGAGTTTCCAAAAGAAAATATATTGGGAAGAACGAGGTTTTTTGTACTTAATATTCTATAAATATGAATATTTCAAAAGAAAATCGAGTGGAATCGAGGAAGTTTAATTATCAAGTAAATATTAAGCAAAAAAAAAAGAGGGAGAGGAAAGGGGAGTTCATCTATGAAGGGGGGGGGGAGTTCATCTAACATGTCAGTCTAAAAAACGGAACAGACATGCCCGACCAGAACATAATTTAAACGATTAATTAAACCCTCGATTACCTAATAATAACAGGAAAGTATCAAACCCTCATATATATATATAAAAAAATATAAAAAATTACAAACTTAGAAATCTTAGCAAAATAATAATTTCCACGAAAATTCTTCGAAATTTTTCCACAAAGATTCATCAAATTGTCATGTAAAATTGTTGTACAAAAAATCTTGACACTCAATTTTGAACAAAATCCACGGCGAACAATTTCTAAATTGTTTTAAGTTTATATTAAGCAGAATATGAGGCGAGTTTTGGAGGAAATCTGTGCCACGGGAGAATGGGGAAATATTTGCCATGGGGAAAAACTATGTACCGACCCCTGAAAATTGATAACAATAATCTGACCGTGCCATTTTTTCACTAATTAGACAGCATTTTGTACATATTTAACAAAAAAAGACTGAGGGGGAGGGAGTGAATAAGCACCAAAATTTTTGGGGACGGGGTAGATCCCTGATAGACAGGTATTAGTCTCCCCTTGACACCTCTTTTCACTCTTTGCTTATCTTGAAGGGTTAGAACTGGTCAAATTTTTCTTCCTTCCTAATTTCACTATATTTCCAGGAAGGGGGGGGGGAATTCAAAAGGAAACATGAAGGTATCCACGGAGAATGTAGATGTAGGGAATATGATGGGTAAAACAATTACGGGTTTCGCAGTAGGGCGATAAGGAAAAGGCCCATCCCTAATAAAATTGCGATAATTTATCACAAAAATAACCTCCTAAGCTTAACATGGTTACCCTCTTTTCTGTCAATCTCCATAAAAATATTCACTCCAATTTCGGGTAATATTGAAGCGTACAGACCCCTTTTTTCCTCAATAAGTTTCCTCCCATATTTTTACAAAATGGCTAGAATTTTTCCTTTCTTCCATCCAATTTGCCTTTCTAATTTTTGCCTACAACCAATCAAAAAGGATTATTTAATTTTATACAAGTGCAAGTACATGCAAAAAACAAGTAAAATGGAGAAGAAAGGAAAAAGTTTGACCATTTGTAAGAATATGTGGGGAAAATTATTGAGGAAAAAGGGGTCTGTACGCTTCAATATTACCCGAAATTGGAGTGAATATTTTTATGGAGATTGACAGAAAAGAGGGTAACCATGTTAAGCTTAGGAGGTTATTTTTGTGATACATAAATATCCATTGGAGAAGCACTCCGACGCTTCGAGGGGTAGTGCCGGGGATTGAGGTTTGCCGGGGATCGAGGAACCCTAATTTATAAAATTATACTATTAAGTTTAATTCCATCGTCAGCAAAAATCATTTGTGCAATTAACAACTTCCCTCCATTTCGTTTCAAGTAAATTAAAAATTTCTAAAAAAAATTTTAAATAAAAGGAAACAATCCAGTTAAAATAACCTTTACAAACTTAGTCGACTCTTTTGCTAATTGAATTAAAATTTTTTCGCCAGAAAGAAAATTTATAGTTAAATTTGTTGCCGATTTATGTATTTTTACCATTTTAGACAATACCAACTTTGTTTAAAATTAATTCAAATTAAACTTCAACACCTGAAAATTAAAAAAAAAATTTTAAAATTGTCTTTTGAATTAAAATTTTTTCTCTCAATATTCCCTTTATTTCGAAAATTTATTCCTTATTAGGAAAGGACAATTGAGTCTCATAGGTTGAGACCCTTGATCAATATTTCAGCTATAACTTTTTTGATTTTTAATGGATTTAAGTAATTTATATATCAATCAAAAGCTCTAAATCTGGAGATTATTTTACTATCAGAATTGATATGATAAGATCCTCAACAAAAATTTAGAGTCGTATAAAACCAAAAAAACACGATTCCGCGCACTTATCTAGCTGTATAATTTTTTAAGTTGATCTGATCAAATCAATTCTGTTATCTAATTTTTACTTATATCCAGAGCTATCGAATGAGCCCAAATTTATTCGAATTGGTTGAAAATAAAAAAAGTTATGTCCCAAAATATGGCCCGGATACACTAACGACGAGACTCAATATTTCAATTTTCTCCACTAATAAAAAAGACGTTTCGCCACAAATAAAATAATTACAGTATACTCTTCAAAAAAGTTTATTTATGAAAAAAATAAATAAAATCAGAATATTAAAATCAACTTGAATCAGAATTAAAATAAATAAACTTGACTGAATAAATAGAAAATAAACTTGAACTTATTTTATAAAACTTGAATAAAAATCAGAATTTTAAATGTTAAACTTTAATTCAGAATTTATAAAATAAACTTGAAATTAAACTTTGTAAACTTGAGATAAAATCAACTTGAATCAGAATTTTAAATAAACTTGAATTAATATTTTCAGAATAAATTAAGTTTATTTAATTAAATTCAGAAAATTAAATTTAGAATCAGAATTAATTAAAGAAGTAATAATTCTTTTATGTACATATTTATTTTAATTATTTAATTAGCTTTGATTTATGGGAAAAATTTTTTAATTAAAAAATCCAGCCCTAACTTTTTGTTTAATAAATTAAAAAATTAATCACTATTGCCTTTTTAATTTTTAAAAAAAAATTCTTTACATAAAATTTTGAGTAAAAGGTGTTATTAATTAATTAATTTATTAATTAATTGATAGTGAAGGTTTTTTTATTAAATTAGAATGTTTAAATCAGTAAATTTATAATTAAACTTTATTCAGAATTTAATTTCAGAATTAAAAATACCGAAAAAACTGTATTAATGTCACTCACTCAAATATCACTCGGCCTCTATTAATTCACCATGCAGGGAGAGATTAAAACAATAATTACACCCCACTTCAAATAATATCCCTATTTTTCTTACAATAATTTTAAAAATATTTGTTGAAAAATCGTTACTTTTAATAATTTTAATTATAAATATAAAAAATAAATAAAGTGATTAGAAGGATTTGAGAAATATCAAAAAATTAGTGTGAATTAAGAGGGAAAATAAAAATGATTTTGGGCCTCGAATAAGAAAATCGCAAAAATTTATCTTCACAAAATTGCTATTAAATCAAATATTATTTTAACGTTTATTTTGCAAGAGTATTTAATAAACTTCAAAATTAAAATAATATAGGAATTTTATGAAAAGATTGTAAAATAACGGAAAATAGAATATACACAAGACAATGGATTTGTACTTTAAGAGATAGTAAACTCGTTAAAAATTGTGTCCTAATAAAAAAAACAATCAAATTTAAAAATTAGTAGAAAATACTTAACGTATTTACTCGATTAATTCCCCCGAGGAATTATTTTTTCAACTCATCTGTGGCATGGGGAATTAATAGAGGGTGGGGAATTATTTGAGGGTGGGGAATTAATCGAGTAAATACGGTATATTGAATTAAATTTAATTGATAATTAAATATAATTTAAATATTTTTTAAGTAAGCATTGTAAATATAGGAAAATGTTAGTTAGTTTTACATTCTTGTTATGCCTGAATTTAAGTTTTTTTCATCCCTTATGTATTTATTTTGCCTATTTTTCAAAAAATTTAAATAGTTCCTTCAGTGGATCTTTCAAATATTTTTTTTCTTATTTTTTCCCAGCTTGCTTTTATTTTCTGAGGGCTAAAACGCGGAAAAGACAAAACACGGGCAAACGAGAGACAAAATTTGTTGGCCAAAGGGAAATTTCAAACATTTTGGAAGAAGGAAAAAAATATTTTTATCGAAAGGTGAAATCAAGCGAGATAAACATTAAAATTGATTTTCTGGATCAGCCTAAAAAGTTGCCTTTAAATTTTAATTAACTGATTGAAAAAATTGGGAAAATTGTATTTAATCCTAAATTTAATGTCAAAGAGAAACAAAGACAAGTTTGGAAAGGTTCACAGAGAAAATTATTGACAACCTACAAATACCGATTTTTTTTATTTAAAATTAGAAAGATTTGTTATTGAAATGAAAGTAAGCTAAAATAGGGATAAAGGTTAGTATCCCCCAAGCCGCGTTCAATTGACTTGAAGTCTTCAGGAAATTTAATAAAGTAAGATTATTAAGTATAATATCAATAAGTGGCTTGTTCGGGTTTTTTTATTCAGAAAATATAAAAGATCAGAGTGGGTCCAGTCTTGTACCGAAAGGTAATAGTTAAATTATTAAAAGATTTATCCCAGGGTTTCGATCTCGAATTTTTAAAAATCCGCAAAATTGATCGAAAAAATCCGCATTTTACTCAAAATCCGAAAAAAATTATCAAACACAAAAACCTTATAATCTTCAAAAGACCTCAAAAATCCGCAAATCCGCATTTTAAAAAATAATCCTCATCGCCCTATCAAAAAACCACAAAATGAGGAAAAATCCGCAGATATCGAAACCCTGATTTATCCACAAATTCGTTTAATTACTACAATATTTGTATAAAATGGAGAATAAAAATTGGAAACTTTTCTCTAATATGCCTAGATTGAGAATTTAATTTTTGGATTATATTTGAATCAACGAGTGTAATTATTGCCGTACAGAGAGAATTTTTATAATATGTACATAAATGAGAATTTTTGAATAATAAAGAAAAATTTGTATTTAGGTAATCCTTTAGTTGAATGCCAAAGGAAAAAAAGTAAATTTAAATTGAAAAATAAAAAAAACAAAAATAAATCAACAAAGTAAATTGAAAAATTTAAAAGAATTTTAAAAAATGTGTTGATC